GGGGGGGCAGCGGCCCGGTGTGGGAGTCGGGTGGACAGTCTGGTGTGGGAGTGGGGTGACGGCCTGGTGTGGGAGTGGCGGTACAGGGGCCCAGTGTGGGAGTGACAGTTTGATTTGAAAGGTTTATTAACTCTATTTTTAACGTGTCAAAACCACTGTATTCTGTGATGGATCAGGATGCATGAGAAATAACAGGAACATAATTAAATATTTTAAAGTTTGTAGAATTGTAGAAGGATTGTATGTAAGAAGAAACCATTCAGCCCTCTTTCCCTGAGCTCAGAAAATCTTTCCTTTGCCAAGATATTTGGCATATTATTATTGAAGCTGCCTCCAGCAACCTTTTAGTCATCACATTCAAAATGAAAACAACTCACCCAATAATCTTTTTAACTGCCTCTTTTTTTTTGTAGTTATTTTAAATTTGTGTCCTCTGATTTCCAACACCCTCCCACTGAAAGAAATTTCTCCTTAATCACTTTTGGAACACCATCCAGGACAAAGCAGCCCGCTTGACTGGCACTACATCCACAAGCATCCACTCCCTCCACCACCGACGCTCAGTAGCAGCAGTGTGTACTATCTACAAGATGCACTGCAGAAATTCGCCAAAGATCCTTACACAGCACCTTCCAAATCTATAACCATTTCCATCTAGAAGGGCAAGACCAGCAGATACATGGGAACACTGCCGCCTGCAGGCGACTCACCATCCTGACTTGGAAATATATCGCTACTTCTTCACTGTTGCTGGGTCAAAATCCTGGAATTTCCTCCCTAAGTGCATTGTGGGTCAACCTACAGCAGGTGGACTGCAGCGGTTCAAGAAGGCACCTCACCACCACCTTCTCAAGGTCGACTAGGGAGGGGCCAGTGATGCCCATGTGATGCAAGTGAATAAGAACAAATAACTTTTTAAGAAGTTGCTAGGTTTCAATTCCAGATTCTCTCTAATTCAAATCATGGTGGGACTTAAATCCATGTCCCCAGACCATTAGCTGGGGTCTCTAGATTATTAGCTCACCACCTCCCCTTATATTTGACCAAGTCATAATTGATTTTGTCATGGACTAATGACTCCTAACATATCAGCACCACTGACATTAGGCCAACTGAACTGTAGTCACTGGGCTTATTGTGGCCTTGGTGAGGCCACACCTGGAATATTGTGTTCAGTTTTGGTCTCCTTTCCTGAGGAAGGATGCTCTTGCTCTCGAGGGAGAGCAGCAAAGATTTACCAGGCTGATTCCAGGGATGGTGGGACTGATGTATGAGGAGAGATTGACTAGGTTGGGATTGTTTTTGCTAGAGTTCAAACAAATGAAGGGGATCTCATAGAGACTTATAAAATTCTAACAGGACTGGACAGGCTAGATATAGGTAGGATGTTCCCAAAGATGGGTGTGTCCAGAACCAGGGGTCACAGTATGAGGATTCGGGGTAGACAATTTAGGATGGAGATGAGGAGACATTTCTTCACCCAAAGAGTGGTGAGCCTGTGAAGTTCATTACCACAGGAGATAGTTGATGCCAAAACATTGAATGTATTCAAGAGGCGACTAGATATAGCACTTGGGGCGAATGGGTTCAAAGGTTGTGGAGAGAAAGCAGGATGATGCTATTGAGTTGGACGATCATCCATGATCGTGAAGAATGGTGGAGCAGGCTCGAAGGGCTGAATGGTCTCCTCCTGCTCCTATCTTCGATGTTTCTATGTTTCCCCTAAATTTTTTAAAGAAGTTTGTAACATTTGTAACATGTTTGTAACATCCAGTCCTGTGGCACCATATGTAAGGGGGATTGGGAGATTGTAGCCAGAACCTCTGCAATTAACACTCTGGTATTTCCCTCAGTAACTTGGGATGTAGCCCATCTGGCTATTGTATTTTTATGTCTGCACTGTCAATGTTCTAAGCATATCCTCTCTAATCTGTTTTTGTTCTGTATAATTTTACTACTAACTCCTCCATTGCTGTGATGTTTTCCCTTTTGAAGAAAATGACTCATTTAGTACATTAACCTGGACGTGCAGAAAGATCTCTTTTTCCTGGTCCGTACTTGTCTATATCTTACCTTTAACTATCCCTCTGTCATTGAAAACCCATGCTGTTGGCATCACTCTGAGCTCACCATGAGGATTCCACATCCTCAACTTCATCCCTCTCCTGAGGTATGGTGACCCCTCGGGTTAAACCAACACCACTTCTCTCTCTCTCCCTCTCTCACTCTATAATGAGACAACAGCCCTATGGTCCTCTGGACTATGGAGACTAAGATATTGAAATTTTGGTTCTCATTTATGTTAGACTGTAGCCTAATCCCACAGACTCTCCTTGCTCCTTTGGTGCCCTTTCTCTGATGTCCTCTGATCTTTCTGCTAGTTCTCTGTTACATTATGGATCTAAAATTTACCAGAACTTTTTTCTCTTGCTTTGTTTTGCCTTCAATTTCTTTAGTAGTCCAGGGAGCTTGAAGAAATTGAACTACTTAAATTGTGAATCATATTACAAGCCATCCGATGCTTCAGAAAGTAACCCATTCATGCCTCTCATTATGTTACCAAGCATCGATTTGTCCTCTCTTGTTTATCGTGAACTCAAAATCAAAACTATTGCCTTATTAAAAAATAAAATCAAGCATGCAAGGTAAGCACAGAATTTATTTTCTGTCCCTGTACAGTTTAGGAGTTTGCTTCATCATTTATTTAATTGTAAACCATGTGGAAGTAGGGCTCGGATCCCCTTAGAGAATCAGACAAGATAAGATTGTCAGGTTCCTTTGAGGGAAGGATGTTACTGAACCAAAAGCACCTCCAACATTTCCCCAAAGTTTTAATTTCAGTTTGTGGTACCTTTAATTTTGTTTGTCCTTGACCTAATAGGAGTGGAATCTTAAAGGGGCCAGTTCATGACCTGATGTGCACCATACTTGCCTTTGCCAGTTAGTTTAACAATGTACATTTACATTTCATGTCAAACATTTCCTGGTGCATGCAGCCTAAGAGGCATTACATGATTTTCAGCTCCAATGGCAGCGTTCTTAGTCAGGAATCCTTTTCCAATTAGCCTTTCTGCTGACTGCCCCAAGCTTTGGTGCATTGTTTTGGATCCTCCAAATGCTTGGGTGTGCAGTGCTTGGTTGTTGACAGTTCTTTGCATTGGAACACTGAAAAAAATTCATAGTGTCACAGAGCCGTACAGCATGGAAACAGACGCTTCAGTTCAACTCATCCACGCCGACCAGATATCCTATATTAATCTATTCCAGATATCCTGGGCCAAAGGAAAGAGCAGTGCTTCAGATGATGGCACATAGAATGGATTACACGATGAAAGGAGTTGACTTTGTTGGAATAATGACCTTTCCTCTTTGATCACTCATTGAGTTCTTGATTGAGTCCAGACTGTTGCACCAGTGAGCTGACCATCCTGTTAAAGGCGAGTATACTAGAATCACATCATGGAATTCCTACAGCATGGCCATTCGGCCCAACGCATCCACTCTGATCCTCCAAAGATCATCCCACCCAGACCCACTCTAAACCTGCATTTCCCATGGCTAACCCACCTACTCTACACATCCCTGAACACTATGGGCAATTTAGCATGGCCAGTCCACCTCACCTGCACATCTTTGGACTGTGGGAGGAAACCGGAGCACCTAGAGGAAACCTACGCAGATGCGGGGAGAATGTGCAAGTTCCACGCAGAATTCTAATAACAGCAGGGAAGGAGCTGTTCTTGAACCTGTTGGTGCATGTGTTTAAGCTTTTCTATCTTTTGCCTGACAGAAGAGGTTGGAAGAGATTATAACCGGGGTGGGAGGGGTCTTTGATAATGTTGGCTGCCATTCTGAGGCAGCAAGATGTATAAATGGAGTCAATGGATGGAAAGTTGGCTCGCTTGATGGATTGTGCTGTGTTCACAACTCTCTGTGGTTCTTATTTTCAAAAATAACATGCTGATAGGCATTATCAGGTCTGGCACCGGATAAATTATTGATACTAGTTCAATGGCCATTGTGACCTCTTGTGTTTTTCATAATTCTTCCCCTTGTTTTCATTTGCTGGGATTCTGGAAAGTTAAGTACTGCTGTAATAACAGTTAAATGAAATCTCATGCTTCATGGTAAAGACCAGGGATGTTTAGTTTTCAAGGGACCCCAATACTCAACACACTTGAAATGTTAAATTTATTTTTTCTCTCCACAGATACTGCCAGACCAGCCGAGTTTCTCTGGTATTTTCTGTTTTTATTTTGGAGTTCCAGCATCCAGAATATTTTGTTTTTAACAAGCCTTCTAAATTTTGGTGCAAAATTTTCAAAAGCAACAGATATTCTCAATGTGATAGTTTGTGGGAATGAATGCAGGAATTGAAATTGCACTTATGTGGTCGCTTTCATGGCCTCAGGGCATCTTTCATGAGGTGCACTGACTATGCTATAGGCTATTGTGGCAGCTAATATGTACATAGGA